TAGGGTGCAGGAAGAATAAAAGCATAAATAAGATTAACAATACAAGACATTTATAGAGGACAAATATAAAGAACAAAAATGACGCTGTTTTATGGGTCACATATTAAATATGAGTAGAACAATCAGGTAATTTTTTTAAAAAGGGCATACTATTTTTACATTTTAATTTTACATTTAAAATATTATAAAAATTAAATTTATACAAAGGAAAAAATTATGAGTCACACGATTAAAGAAATGCTAACAATGTTACTTATATATTTTATAGGTATAAAATGATCATATTTAAAAAGAATAAAACCTTTATCACGTTTTCTTAAAACCCACCAAAGTATTACATGAAAAATTTGTACTTTAGATGAACTATCTTTAATTATTATGTAAATTAGCTACTGCTTATATAAATATCTCCTAAATTAAAATCAAAATTGTTAATAATTCTCAAGTCAGAAACTCAGATTTTAATGTATCTAAATGAAATTAATAGCAACGCTTTTTAAATTCTACTTTATGACATTTAATATCCTATTGAATAGTTAATATATATAAAATAGTTTTGCACTTGTTTTTAAAGGTAATTTAATGTTAAAACTGAAATAAAGTATATTACTTAAGTATATTTACTACGTCTTCAGTTGAAAAATGGGTTTGCTTAAAAATTGTCTACACATTTACATAAGTATTACTTAAGTATATTTACTACGTCTTCAGTTGAAAAATGGGTTTGCTTAAAAATTGTCTACATGTGCAATTCTTTTTATTTTTATTTTTCACTAAATAATGACTAGTATAAATATAGGATTTTGAAATATTCTCATGACTTGAATCACTGGGGGGTATACATTGGTTTTTTTGCTTTCAAATTGTTTATTAGATGACTTCTGAAACCTCAACTATTCTCTTCTATTTTATGGTTTTGTCTCCCAAAGTGCTGACATAGTCATTCTGTGATAGATGCATGTTTAACCACCTTTTGTAGTTTACTGATCCTTGGGGAGACATACAAAAGACTCTGTTATGATTACTGTGGTTGATTATGCAGTTAATATGAGTGAAGTGATTACAAATTTGTGACTGCTATAGTTTGAAGTTTTTATAATTGAAACAGGAGATTTTATACTAGAAAATAATAGGCTTTTTTATTCATGAAGCTAAAGACTATTCTTAATGTTACAAAAATATTTATGAACTATGATGATATACTAATGGCCCTTTAAAATTAATATGACAGTAACAATAAAGACAATTTATATCAATCTGAATTTTTTTTTTACTAATTATAAATTTACATAAAGGAAAAACTATAGAAATTAGATTTCTAAACTAGAGAACTATTAGAATTTGGGCTCTTTTTTGTGTGTGAAAAATACATTGAGGTAATGCCAAATCTAAAAGTAAGATCAGTGTAGTGTATGTACACAAAGAATCATAAGTGGTATTTGTGTTCCTTGCTTTGATAGATATGGGGAGTTTCTCAGAATAATTTCAGATTTTATAAGAGACTTTTAATTAACAAGGTGAAATCAATTGTTTGATAACCTCATCATTCTTTAAACACTACTCCTAATATTTGCTTATCCTTTCTTTTTTGTGTCTGTGTGTGTGCTTATCCTCTCTATTTTTCTTTCTGCACAATCTAATAATTAAAGGTCTAAACACATTGAAGTCTGGAATCAAGGGTTATACACAAGTCAGTTCAGAATTTTGAACTGGCTGTATGAAGTATCATCTGGCCTTTACTTTATAACAAAGCTGGTTCTTTTAATAGTTAATAACAGAAAAAAATTACAGATTTGGGCTATTAGGAGGTAACAGGTGGCAGAATATGAAGCCAAGATATGCCCATTATTGACTTTCTATCAGTTACATCTTGTGCATGTTAAATAATAATGATAAAGTGAACAAGTACACATAGCAATGTTTTGTTTATACTGAGGTGCAAGTTTATGTAAAACACGGTGGAAGTTTGGGTTTTCTGTAAAAAATATGCCTCATTACTGCTTAATTATTTACACTGTAAAGTTTTATCTCTCCAATATGATTACTGCATCTTGAATATTCTTTTTGTTTTTCCCACAGTCTAATTTAATGCTGGGCACATGATAGTAGATTAAGAAATTTTTCTTTTTTTTTCCTTTTTTTTTTGTCTTTTTTCGTGGCCGGCAACGGATCGCAACCCTCAGTGTCGCGCCCGCACCGGACCGGGACCGGCAACGGGACCGCAACCCTCGGCATTGCCCCCGCACCTCGCTCAGCCAGTGAGCGGCCAGTCCGTATGTGGGATCCGAACCCTCGGCGGGAGCGCCACCGCGCTTCCCAAGCGGCGCACTATCGCAGTGCGCCACCGGGCCGGCCCCAAATTAAGAAATTTTTAAAAATACTTAGTTAATCACAGATCTATAGGCACCATTTATAAGGGGAATACAATTTAAAATTAGAATAACTCAAAAGTACCCAATCTGAGAGCAGTCTTGTTCACAGGTTTGTAGTTATCAAAGGATAACACTTTGAGAAGCCAGTTTTACCTGTGAGGTTCTCTCAAACATTCTGGTCAAGGATTATTTGTGACATAGGTTATTATATTTTTCTTTTTAAATAATAATTCCTTGAATGTTTGACTTTAACAAAAGAAATTACCTAAGGTAAAATAAAATCATGGATTTTATTATTATATAAAGAGAATCATATAGACAGAAAACATAGTGTACCCATTCTTTAATGATTTTGTTTTGTTGTTAATTTGTTTTCTTAGTGTTATAACTGTCAATTTCATTTTAACTCATTCATTCATTCAACTAGAATTTTCTAAGCACCTACTACATACTTGGCTCTAATCAAGGCATTGGCAATACAAGGAAGACAAGAGTCTGGTTCTCCTAGATCTTATATTCTGGGAGGAAAAAGACCATAAACAAGCAAAAAGTAAATAAGATGACAGAACAGAGTTCCAGAGGTGGGGTGTAAGAAAAGGCAAAACTAGATGTTCTAGGAAGGCCTCTTCGACAAAATAATATTTGACCTGTGACTGAACAATAAATAGGAACCATTCGAATCCTTGATGGAACAACAGCAATGGTAATGACCTTTGTTTAGGAATAATAAGAATACAAAAATGGGGCTGGCCCCGTGGCACACTCAGGAGAGTGCGGCGCTGGGAGCGCAGCGATGCTCCTGCCGCGGGTTCGGATCCTATATAGGACTGGCCAGTGCGCTCACTGGCTGAGCGCGGTGTGGGCAACACCACACCAAGGGTTGCGATCCCCTTACCGGTCATGAAAAAGACAAAAAAAAAAAAAAAATGATGAATATACTGTGTAAGGGGCAAACTGCACAAGGTAAAGTTGGAGTGGTAGGCAGAGGACAGAGCATATGGGACTGTTATGTCATGGAGAGGAGTTTGGACTTTACTATAGTTGCAATGAGAAGTGACTGGATAGTGTTTAGTGGTTTACTTTTTGAAAAGATCACTTTAGCTGCTCTGTGGAGAACATACACAGAGTGTTGAGGAAAGCAACATAAAAAGCAAAAAAGGGAAACCAAGCTCTTTATGTTGTTATGACTTAAGTTATATATATATATATGTGCATATATTTGCTTTATCCTGGTTTAATATTTTATCATGGTTACCTTGCCATTTCTTTTCAAATTAATTACTTATGCTTGATGTGGGCAGCCCTATTAAGAACTCGTATTGCTCTAATATAGGTGGGTTAATTTTTTTTCAGTTTTTTCTCAGTTTATCTGACATCTGTTTTAATAATTCTAAGTACTTCAGATTTAAGGGTGAGAATTCCGTATGCTACTCAAGTTTCTTTTTTCTCAGGACTGGGTAGCTAGGAAAAGCAAAGCTGTAGCTGGTTTCTGATATCCCTTTTGGGTTTATTGGAAGCACTGTGCCTGATGCACTCTATCTAGTCATGGGTATGTCCGTTCCTCTTGAATAGTGCTCTTGGGCTTTGATGGATTCTTAGAATATCTAATTTTAATCAGCTATATTTATTCTGTGGCTGTCACCCTCCACCCAACCCAGATTTCACCCACCCCTTGAAGCAACTTTTTCCACTCTCTCCCCAGGCCAGAGGGTAAATACTGAAAACCAATAGGAGGTGTCATGTCTTTGGGTGCCTCTTTCACCTGGGAATTAACTTCCTCAGATGATCTTATTCTTAGTATTTTCTTCAGTTTTCCCTTCTTATTAAATCCTAGTATGCCTGGAGATAATGCTCTAGGTTGTCTTGATTATTCTGCCTTTCTTCTTTAGCTTTCCTCCCTGCCAGGAAAAACCTGAATGATAAGCCCTGGTTCTTTTTATTCCTACCAGTAAAAAACAGTTGAAAGGGAAAAACTAGTCTCTTGAGGGATTTTCCACGTCTTTGTCCTGGGTTACTAATTGCTCCCCCTGTTTTTATCTCTCCAGATTAAAGGAAATTAGGTTGAACTTTCAGTATTTTAATTAATCCCCTTCCCTACTCTTCCTATCACCATACCAGAAGGGAACAGAGAGAGCAGGCAGGCCAATTCCTGAAATCCATTACCTGTCTTTTTTCCTGCTTGCCATTTTTCAGAGATTATAGTCATAATTTCATGCATATATATATAGATTCCATTATTGTTAGGTGTAGAGGGTGTCAATAGGTCTGAAAATCAACGGATTAGGAAAAAAAGACAGCAGGAAAAACACTAGGGCCAAACTTCCATAGTTTAGGAGAGTCACAGAAAGTGATTGCTGGAAGAGATTTTGGAGGTAATCTATGTTAGTAGTTCCCAACCCTGGCCATGCAATCTTGCTAGGCCCACTCTGTATAGCAAACACATATGTCGTAGCAATTGTAAGTACTATGTGGTGCCAGGACTGTTCAAAGAACTTTACACACACACCCATTTAATCATCACTACAACCCTGAGACAGGAGTTAGCATTTATCTCCATTTTATAGATGAAATGAATCACAGAGAGGTTAAATAACTTGCCCAAGGTCATATAGCTGGAAAGTACTGAAATCAAAATTCAAATTCAGGTAATTCGGCAACATTGTCCAGTTTCTAAAACAATATAGAGATTGTCTCTATGTATCAGAGATCTACACTGCTAATTTAAGCCAGAGCTGAGACCAAAATACTGAACTTCTAGATCCAACAGCATCATTTTCACTAATTCTCATTTATTAAATGCTTATCTCACTTGGTAATCCTACAACTCTGGAGGTAGCTATCATTATCTTAATTTTAAAGAAATAGCTTGAAGAGGTAAAGCAAATCAGTGGCAGAGCCAGCATGGGAATCTAAGTCTCTCCACCTCCAAAGCCCTAGTTAAATTGGTTGTACCTCTATTCAACTGTTTGAATGCAAAATAATGCCTTCCTTTATAACATGTATGTTAACTTTTAACTGATTTCTATTAAATTCCAAATAAGCTCATTTTGACTTACTGTAACAAATTTCTTATTCTGAATTATCTGTTAAAAAGTCTATTTTAAGAAAAGTACTAAGGCCGAATTTTACACATAGAAGGCTAAAGAATAATTCTGTAGGCAGAAGTCCATGGTTAGAATCATTAGTGTTTGGAGCAGGACACATAGGACTTGTCTAGGCATGCTATAATATTAGTTTTGTGAAACTCTGGTTACAGTAATAAACAGCTACTTTTATCCAAACCAATGCCATTCCCTACATTAAAAAAAGATAATTAAAATCTCAAACAGAAAAATTAACACATACATTGGAACCCTTCCTACATTCTTTTATGTTCTAACACTCAGTTACTATCTCTAACCTTTGTTTTCCTCATGAAAGCCAGTAAATCATGACAAACCCACACTCAGAAACATTTATATTTAGAATAGCCAATGCTTTAGAAAAACATATTGAATTATAAAGTCCTGTTTTTCTAGAAACACACACTTACTTCTGCTTTTTTACGAGCTTCCATAGCTTTCATAAGCATCATATGTTGTCGCCTTCGCTCTCGTTCCTATTAGGCCAGATAAAATTAAGAACATAAGGAGAATAACTCAACCACAGTTAGCAGTTTGATTTTCAAACGGAAAAAAAAAAAAAAAACAACAACCAAAAAACTCAATATAACATGTTTAGCATTTAGAGACAAGTCACAGTAAATACTAAATATAAGACAAGAATGGCCAGTCTGTGCATGTTTTAGTTCAGGTTTAGAAAGCAAATACAAGAACAATCAAAAGCAAAAAGGTAAAGCAATGAACATGGAGACAGTGTAAACAGAAGCATACAAGATTTACTTATGGTCAGTTGTGATGCTCCTTCAAAAGCTGGCAGAACAAAAAGCATAATGGTTGGCTGGAACAGGTCAGTTACCTTACATCTGCTATTAGATAAATGGCAAATGCTTACTATAGCCAATTAATCAAAAGGTTGTGTTGTTCTTAAATTTTTAGATCAGGCAGAAATTGATTTATTTATAGCCACTTTCACTTCATGGTTTTAGAATTGGTTATTTTAATTTCAAGAATAAAATTATTTTGTAAATCCAATAAGCCACCAATAAATTAGAAAGTTTTTTTTTTTTAAAGCTTTTATACCATTCTAGTTAAACTAGTGTTGGTTCACATACAAACACCAATGAAATGGGATATTCCTATTTACTGATGTCTGCCACTTGATGCACTATTTAAAACCACAAAAGCTGCACCATGGGCTAATAAGTGGAATCTAAAAGGTACAATATAAAAATAAGGTAAGCACTAGCTTAACTCGATAATCTCATTTTATTTTAAAATAAAAAATCACATATTTATAATAGCTAATTGAATTTGTTTATTTGGTCCCTCCAAAGGGATATTTCTAGAATTATTTATAAAATTTGTCTATAAATCCAGAATATATCTCATATTCTCTCATCAAGCAAACTCAAAATTCCCATTGTATTCAATGGCAGTTTTGCATCTAGAATGATGGGAGAATACGAGTCATAACTATCTAATTGTATAGTGATCCAACTTTCCTTGTGACATCAGTAATGTAAATTTTTAGAGAGCAGCCTTACTTAAAGCTTGTACAATTCAATGAAAAATCTTGGAGATGTATCATACTTCTTTACAGACAGACAAGCAGATGTATGCAATGCACTGTGCTGTAAAGCCATGCAGCAGTATGTAATATGACAGCAGCCAGTGCTACACTTTATGCATTGCTATGACAACCATATCACAACCAAATCACAATGCGGTGTTAGATGTACAAAAATAAACATACCCATACCATATCTAGTCTATGCCTCTCCAACTCCTGGTAGAAAGAGTTGGCACAACATTATGAAACAGAAATCACAGAGTCATAAAACCAATTTATAACCCCCCCAAAGACACCAATACCAAAGCAAGGAAATAAACCGTAAGATGAAGGAAAAACTTAAGCAGAAATTATATTGAAAAATTCAAAGAAAGTATTTTGAAGATTTTCCCCCAAATAGGTTTAAGCAAAATTATAAAATGAATATTTCAACAGTTATATAACTATATGTATACAGACCTGATGCTTCAGGAGAACAGCTTGTTGTCTTCTCATTTCTTTTTCCTTAAAAATAACAAACTTTTAATATACGGTTTTTAGGAAAGATTTTGAACATACTATAGTTATTAAAAGTTCATTTTCTGAGATTCTGCAGTCTTCCATTAGATTGAACCATATGAGAATGGCAATATTCAATCTTTTTTTCTTTCTTTTTTTTTGCAGCTGGCCAGGAGTGGGGATCTGAAACCTTGACGTTTGTGTTACAGGATGTACTCTAACCAATTGAACTAACTGGCTGGCCCTTCAATCGTTTCTTACTTATAAAATGGCAATTCAATTTCCTGTGGTTCTACCTAATACTTACATAAAAATCATGCAATATAGTATCAAGGATCTTTCTTCAGGAGGCTTTTCATGAGTGACCTAACAGCACACTTCACTGGCACATTCACTGAACAGACTGGCTAGATGGTCACAGCTTATTAGATACAACTGTCATATGTATTTATTTTTATTACTTTAATACATTATGATGAAACCCTCGAATCTAGCTGATTAGAACCCTTTCCACTCTGACTAAAAACTCCCAAATATAATTAATAATTGATAATTAATTATAATTATAATTAAGGATCTATTTCATTATATACACTGAGATTATAATGCCTACCTATGATTTGGGGCACCATCCCCAGGGGATGGGGTTTAATGCAAACAATTCTAGGAATGTCAGCAATTTTAATATTTTTATAATGGTAAAATCTGGATGAATTTAATATTAAGGACAGACATGAAGAGGGATAGGAATCTAAAGAACAAAGTAAGAGAGTCCAAGTAGAAAGTTATTACTGGTGAATAACAGTTGATAAAATTAGGTTTTGTTTCTGTAGGCTTTTCATTTTTAATAGATAAAACAGTTGCTAGACATTAAAAAAGAAAGCTATAAGGACAGAATCAGATTCAGGACATAGTTTAGAACACAAACATAAATGACACACAAAATAGTTTGGGGAGAATAATTCTTATCCAGCAAAACTATATAGAGGTATCACGCAATAGAGTTTGCATCTTTGATTTGATGTCTCTTATTTAAAGAGCTCAAAGCATCACATAAAACGTATATAATAAAATAAAAAATATATGTACATACACATACAATAAAAGCACACATAATACACATTATATCTGCTAAATATATTTTTAGATAGTCACTTTGAGGAAAGCTATTTTTTACATATAATTGATGCTGGTATAACATGTAGTTTTTATTTTTGAAAAATAAAAACTATGATTCTCGTCTAAACTAACCTTTATTCGTTTCTCGGCCTCCAATAATTTGGCATTTGCCGCTTCTTCCTTCTTTTTCTTTTTAGCCTGTGCATGCAAAACAGGTCTCAAAGTCATGCAACAGCACTGCTACAACTTGCAAATAATCTCAGACTTGAAATGAAGCTACATGCCTCACAAGGTACAAAACAATATGTAACATATATTTAGACAATTACAGATTTTCCTCCAGTTAATGGTATATATAACATAGTATTTTGTTTCTAATTTAAAGATTAGTATTAGGATATACAAAAAATTCTTAAACTCATAAGAACATAACAGATTTTCTTATATTCAAACTCTGTTGAAAGTCTGAAATAATTGAGTGTTTATGTTATTTTACCTTAAAACACAGAAAATAATTTTGTCATTTATTGCTTTTTTCTTATTTTAAAAACTAAAACAGTCACTGTAAAATCAAATGTGAGCTTCATATATTAAAGTTATTAACACTATCTAGTAGTTTCATAACTATCTAGTATTTATTGTCAAGTTACTTTAGGATAGAAATGTTTTCAATATGAGGGATTTAAGATTAATTTAAAATGGGTAAGGGAATATGTGTATATTTCTAGAGGAAAACTGTAACACAGAAAACCTCAGTTATCTGGAGCCCTTAGGGAATAAACTGTTCCATAAGCTGCAGTTTCCTGAATAGCTGAGAGGTTATAATAATTTTAAACATTAAAAGTTTATTTTCACTATTTTGGATGAAAATAATTTTGAGACATATGCCTGCTTAGATACAGTACTCTTAAACATAATTTGGCTTTTTCTTGATGACTCAATGTGACTACTTTGAACATCAGTTATTATACTACACAGCTATTAAGGTGTTGAAAACTGATTGTTATTCAATTAAAAGATTACAAACTGTTGCTAGGCTTTTGAGTTCCTGTATTTGCTAGTGGGAGTTTTTCTATATTTTCCCTTGCTGTCTTTTGGCTATTACTTTTGCTGTTGACAGTACAAGTATACGTCCTCTATCCCTATTCTAATCAGCTTGCAGGGAAGAGGGGTCTGTTAGAAACCTGAAAAACAAGCTGGTAAAACTATTTCTACACATAAAATTTACTTTTACTTTTAGAATGATTACTTTTGTAAACATTTGTTTCTAAATTAAAAGTAAATATCTGACAATAAGTCCTAATGACTTCTAAAAGTCAAGAGTTTTAGACATGAACTTTATGATAACTATATTGGCTGCTCAGAGGTTTTCCTTTTTTTTTTTGTCTCATTTCCTGGGTTTTTACTGTAAAGATTAGTTGAGCTTGCTAAATTAGGTTCAGATGTATTATGTTTAAAGAGTATTTCTGATGGATATGTTCATTTGAATGAGTGGGAGAACATGTAGGCAAAAATTTTATTTTCGTCTCATTTCCTGGGTTTTTACTGTAAAGATTAGTTGAGCTTGCTAAATTAGGTTCAGATGTATTATGTTTAAAGAGAATTTCTGATGGATATGTTCATTTGAATGAGTGGGAGAACATGTAGGCAAAAATTTTATTTTCACAGACTTTAAAATATATGACTATATTACTTTAATTGTATTAAATTTAAGAATTTTACCTCTAGAATTTGCTGGGCTCGAAGTTCTTTTTCCATTCTGATTTGCTGTATTCTTTTAATTTTTTCCTGTAGAAAAAATTATAATTTAAGATAATAAACTAAATATCTAGGTGAAAAGGGTTTAAGTGGAATCAAATAAGATGTAAGTAAAAAATTACCAAAGGCTATCCATGCTGAATATAAACATTTAGTTATCTAGTATAACATCATATATATTTTCATATATTAAATTAATACGATTTTATAAAATTTCTCATAATAATTTGTAAAATACAATGCTAAATAAATACACAGAAACAAAGTAAACCAAGCTGATCAAACTCATATAGCCTGAGGACCTTTATAAATATTTGCAATTACAAGTAATACTTAATTTGAAATAAGTATAGGATAGAATAGTCGAAAAAATAGTTTATCAGAAGTCATAAACATAGGCTACTTCTGGTTACTGTCATTTACTGAATTATCTTGAGCAAATAATAAATATTTTTCTATAAAATAGGGAGAGGTACTTGCTCTTTTCTCACTTTTTCATGATTAAATAAAAAATGCTTTAAAAGTATATAGTGACACAATTGTAATAGGTTATTATTAACAATAATTTCGACTCGAAAATTTATTTTACATGTTGAATAACATTGCTTTAATTAATTAATTAATTAATTTTGGGGGCAGCTGGCCAGTATAGGGATCGAACCCATGATCTCAGTGTAATTAGCACCAGGCTCTAACCAACTGAGCTAACCATCCAGCCCAGAAATTGCTTTTAACAACCACAATAAGCCCATTTCAGAAATAATCTGTAAATTAATTTAGAATGAAATAATTACAATTTAATATTCCAGGGCATTATTTACTTGACAAAATTGGTGTACACATTGTCTAAATTTAATGCACTGGTTATTAGTTAGGTTTTATAATTTACTGATCATCTAAATTTTGATAAGAATTTGTATTTTGATTTTAAAAAATTATCTTATATGCTATAAGCACACTGTTAGCAATTTCATGTCCATAAATTCCTTCTAAACTCCCAAATTGGTAGTGATGAGAACAGATATATAGTTTTAACAACAACAAAAAAAGCCCAAAGTGTCCTACTTGCAAATTGTACTTATCCCAGTACGGGCGCGACACTGAGGGTTGCGATCCGTTGCCGGTCACGAAAAAAGACAAAAAGGAAAAAAAAAAAAAAAACAAATTGTACTTATCCCAGAAAATACATTTTACATTGCTGTATGTTATAATACGTGCTCCAATTTCCAGATGCTGATTGTACATTTTGAAGCTATACTTAAATATGTATTTTAACTTATTTGGTTTTTTGTACACTGATGTTATTGAGTCCCTGCAGGGGTCTACTGCAAGATAATGAGATTTCAGGAATTACTATTCTGTTCAGAAAATTCATCACATTCTTTGATTTTGCTGTTGGTGATCCTGTGTTGGTAGTGAATATTAATTATAGCTTGCCAAGAACAAAAACCCAAGAGTATCTTTTGCATCACTTCCAAGTCTTAGAGAAAACTGTATTTGATCCATATTTGAAATATTAATTTGGATTAGAACTTGATACCTGAGAAAAGCATACTCTTGATCTAATTTTTCTACTCTTGTCAATCATAAGATTATAAGGTGGTATGTTCTCAGGTCACCAAAAGTCATTTATTATCCTCTTATGCATAGAGAAAGGTAGGGAATCTTGGGCTTAAATACGCTCAGTCCAAAGCATTATCTTAACCGTCCAAGTGATTTATATATATGTATGTGATTTTTATATATGTGGGTGTGTGTGTATATATATATATGTATATATTTGGTAGTGCTGTCATTATTAGCATGTAAGTATATACTATTTATAAATTATTATAATATAGGTTCACCTTATAATGTTGAGCATCGAACCACTGAGCTGGTCACTTTACATAAAATATTTTGTTGATTGTTAAAAAAAATCATAGAAGTTGAAATTATCTTCTTTTTACATAAGAGAAAACTAAGATTCCCAGAGAGCAAATATTTTGCCTAAAGTCCAATAGTTAGTAAATACAGAGCCCTGGTCAGATACAATGCCTGTGCTCCTCCTGCTTTGTAACAGTGCTTCTGCAACCTTCCAGAAAACTGCCATAAGGACTATCTGGTGATATTTTTGGCCTACTGGAAAAAATAACCCAAAGGATGAAGAGCACATGCTATTATTTTATTCTAATGTAATGCTGACTTTAAAATAGGCATTAATAACAGACTGTGTGAATAGAGTTATTCTATACTTTGATTCACTGTTGGCAATAAGGAATAAATCAGATGGTATTCTGAGATTAGCCTCAGATAAATATCTAAGACCAGTTCATTGTATTAGTGTTGCTGGAAACTTCAGAGTCCAATGCTTTTTCAATGAGCAGCAAAGACCATGTAAATTTAGGTCATAGCCACTTTATGACTTAAGGATCACAAAGCTGAATGTAAAGTACTGGTCAGATCTGCTGGGACTCTAGCCATCAGGAAATAGGATAAGCTATAAAAAAGTAAAACAGAAACAACAGTATTTCACTTAAAAATAAGATATGAACTTATTTTTATATATATACCATTCAGTCAATATTTATATTTTAACAAGTGCGTTCATTAGCCTGCCTATTTTAAGTCAACTTTACAATGTCTAGCAGTCATAATTAAACTAATGAAGGAATTCAAGTTTACAATTGACTACTTTACAGTAAAAGAGTATACTATATAGTTTCATGTTTTATATGTATCTTTAAAAAATTGACAATTTGTTTTGTGCCAGGCACTGTAGTAGGTACCTCACATTCATCATCTCATTTAATTTTCAAATATTGCAGTTATCTTCTTTTACAATGGAGGAAATAGGGACTTAGAGGTTAAGTAATCCATCTAAGGTCACAAAACTATTAAGTAGCAGAGCCCACATTTAAATTTAGGCTGCCCAACCACAAACTCTAAATTCTGAATCCCAACCTTAAATCAACTCTCTTAGTCATATTGCTTTAGTCAGTACTGAAACATGAGAGATAACCACATCAAAGCCAACCCAAGCTATTTGTTTAGCAGCTATTTGTATAGTAACACAATTAATTTCATCTCATACTGAGAAATGACTACTTGTTTAAATTGTTTTTAAAAAATAGTGCTTTCCCCCCATTTCCTTTTTACTGTAATGTTAACATTGAGTATGTGGAGATGGTAGAGTAGTTTACATGTTCCTATCCTAAATGAAGCTGAATATCTTGTCACTTAATATTTTACCTATAAGAATTTAAAAATTACTTCATTTACCTACATTTAATTTTGAAAACCACAAAGGGGAGGAATACTGTAGATATAAGACAGAACTCTGGATATGCTAAAATAATAATCTTTTTTTTTTTTTGAAGTAGCAATTTTTAGGTAACTCTGAAAGCATTCAGAAGCAGTGAGGGGAAATACTGTTCTATAAAACTTGAATTTGATTTTTACTAATATTTTACATGGTTTAGAACAACAAACTTTTCTTATTAAAATCTGATAGTCAAGTAATATCCTTCATTTACTGATACATTTATTTAAAAAGTCTAAAAATTACTCAAGATGTCAACTCATATGCAAAGTCTACCAAGATATTTACAAATTTACTGTTTGGTAGCCATTTCTTCAAAAACTTGGAAGTGGAAGACTTGATTAAAAAATAAGGTGGAATTTTAACTAATGGAAGATGACAACTTTCCAAATAAGAGACATAACATTAATGTGTAATACAGTCATTTAAGAAATAAAAATCAAAATAACGTACATATACAGATAGATCCTCAAAATATAGCCTGTTTTAAAAGTCAGTTCCAATGCATAAACATACCTGTTGCTTCATAATCTTTATCTGTTCTTTTTGCTTTCGCTTCTCCTCAGCAGCCATTATTGCTGTGACAAGAAACCAAAGCACATATGTCATCAGAAAAGAAAGAAGAGAAGCCTCTTATGAATCCCCCAATACTAACTCTTTAAGTTTACATCATTTAAATTACCCACCTTGTTGTTTTTTAGCTTCTTTGGCAACCCGTGCCTGTTCCTGCTTTTGAAGTTTTCTCAAAAGCTTTATTTGTGCTGCCTGCCTGGCTATTTCTGAAAAACATAAAATTTCAAAGAATACAATTAACAACTTTACAAAACTGCTAACCTAAAACAATAACTGGTAATTATTGATGAAAATGGTATCATTATGAAGGACAAAATATTTAAGAAAATTGCCCAAGGTTAGACAGATACCAAGTATGAGAGTTGTATGGTAGAAAATGTCATGTAAGAAATTGCCAAATTTTTTCATCAAATATGATTCCATATACAAAACTACATAAAAATGATATTTCTCTTAATCTTCAGAGAGGCTCATCTAAGTAAATTTTTTTCAGAGTACCAAGTTAGCTTTAATCTTATAACGAAACATATAAAAAAAAAGAGAGAAAGACCCCCAAATAAAACAAATACAAAGCCCCCTACCCCTAACTTAGTATTTTAATTAGCTATATTAATGGTTAAGTTCCTGAATTCAGTGGTATTTTCATTTATGAAGAAGCAGGACTAAATTTCCTAGATAAAAACAATGCAGAATATCAATGAATTTTAAGGACAACTTAATTCTCATAATTTTCTAGGACAAATATATGAAACTGGGGCAGACAGACATAATTAACGACCCCAGTTCTTCATTCTTCCCTCTCTCCAGGTTATCTGCAATGTGACTCTGCAGCAACACATCAGGTGAAACCTATTTTCCTATCCCTTGTTTCTGAAATCAGCCAGGTGATCTTCTATTGTGAAGAAGATGTTAGTAGTTGTGATGCAAGTAGAGCTCAAAAGTGTACTTGTACTTGCACTACTTTTGCTCTTGTGCTTTTCCTGTTATTATAAGGACATGTTTGGACTATGCTGCTGGAGACTGGGACTCATGGAGCCAGTTGACCCTACATATGTGAACAAGCCCAGCCAAGAGCCACAAAGCTGCTTAGCTAACCTCCAGCTGATTCTACCTGCACAAGGGATGGAATAATAATAATGAAAGGCTTAGTGTTGTATGCCACTGAGGTTTGGTAGTTGTTTGTTATTCGGCATTGTTGTGGAAACAGGTATAATGAATGCAGAAACCATATAATGTTATTGTTTTCTTCTGCTGGCAACTTGGTCTGAATACTTCTAACTCTAAAAGTGGTGTATCATAGTATCACGCACAGGGTCATTTCAGAAAGCACCACTTTATGGTAGACATTGTTTTAAACTTTGTAGTTAATGAATAATATAAGGAACCTATAAATGATATTCATCAATCATGAATGTTATTGGTAACACCTAAGTCACTTGAGCATTAACAATTTCCACCAATTTATTGACTGCAGGTGTTAAATTTACATGATTTTTGTTTAATTTTCACAACTACCTTATATGATAATCAAAATTATGCTTACAAATAAATTAACTAAGGCTCTTAAAGGATAAACAGCAGAGCCAAGAAACAAACCCAGGTCTTTCTTACTCCAGTCTATATGCTACCATCTCTAAAGATCTTTAAGCAAAACTTGAATGCCTTGAGATTTTAGCTAAGAACTTAATCCTATGTCCTTGTAATAGCTGAAGTGAAGTGGGTTACTAATTTTCTGTCAAGATTTTTTTAAAGGGGAGGGGATTTAAAAGGGTCTAGTTTCATCTAATAAACTGACATGTTAAAGATAAAATGGAAGCTGATGCTAAAGTATATCTTCAATAATTTTCAATATTAGGAGGTTATAGGCATCATCAGAAATTTCTGGGTCACACAAAAAGGATCTTCTGTTCATAAATACTCTGAGAGATAAAAATCTATAAACTGGCCTACAGAGTAAACAACCTCTGATGACAATGTACCTGAAGAGTATCGTTCTCATCTATAATAATGCCAGATAAATATTTCTTTAACATTTAAGAACTGCAAGTTTTTACTGAACTCTGCTATAAAGGCCTAACTCTGTCTTAAGATGTAAAGATGTGCTAAGTGATCAAAAAAATGGTTCCTAAAAAATGTTGGCTAAGTATGATCTTGTGCTTCAAGCTAAACTGATGTTCTCTAACTTTTAATAAGGGAATTCTATAATATATATAGATGTGTGTTCATGCATGAGTGTATCAGTCAATTTCAAGCCCCATACAAGCACATAGTAATTTTTATTTTTAAACCCTTTGTACAGAAAAACATTAAAAAGTTAAACTCATGTCTTTTCACTTTAGCAGGGAATATACAATTTTGACTAATCATTAAAAATTTATGTAGCTTTAAGTTTACATTATGAGCAGCTGGAGAAGAAAACGTGAAAAAAGAAAAGTGCTTAGAGACACTGTGGAGGAAAGAGACTGAGTAGAAACCTGCAAAAGTTCATTCAGGCTCTGAGGAATAAAGTACTCCCAATGTCTTCTCATTTACTTGGTTTATGGTTGCTGAATATATTATATTAAAATTAACTTTTAAAATATTAATTTGAAAAATATCTTTTATAATTTAGGAAATTATTTGCTTTAATTTGAAAGATAAAAGTTTATTTTCACATAGTATTAGGGATATTTTGGACATAACCCATTTTCTTCAACTCTAAGATGAATTTTTAAACATGTTAACATTCCCCAAATCAGAATGTGTATGACACTTGGCAGCACTTTCCTTTCTTAATGGTACATCTTAAAATAATGGTACATCATATAGACTGCATATATGACATCTCAGATTCTATGATATGAAATGGAGAGGTACTATTTCATATTTGGGAAAATTTGAGATATTAACAGTATTGTTCAATTAACAAGCAGATTTATTTTTATCTATACTCTCTGAGAAATTAGAACTCTTAATTCACAATGTTGAGATGTACATTTAAAACTCGCACGTGGCTAGTTGGCTGGTTGGCTCACTTGGAGCACTGTGCTTGCGGCACCAAGGTCAAGGGTTTGGATCCGTATACTGACAAAAAACAAAAAACAAGCCTCACATTTACCTCACTGTTCTGAACCATTCTTCAAATTAAGTCCAGTGTTTCATTCTACTGGAGTCTTAGAAGGCTAATAATGTGTAACAGAAACTTCTAGAATCCTCTCAGATAACTCCCCAAACTATATTAATGCAGAAGCCTCTCAGAAATAAAAGCAGTGATAAAGTGATTCATTCTTACTTTCTTTTCTTCCTAAGAAAAAAATGCAAACTATACCCCCATATACTTGTAAATATTAACAATTATTTATTTACGGTTAAACATTTAATCTTTATATACATGTTGAGAAAGAACACATGTATACAATAAGGTCAAAGTAACAATACTTGCAAAATGCAACCCAATACAACAAGGGAGAACTATATAGTAGAATATAAATCCATTTGAAATCTAGAGGGAGAATAAAACATTGGGTAAAAGTTGAGTAATTAACTTCTATTTTGTTTCAATAAAAAACCAGTTAATTTTGCAAATTTAAATTTGTTATTTTGCCATTTTGGATACTAAGTAATAATGATAATTGTATTAGATATGCAAAACAGGTAAAAAGAGCCCATGTTTTGGGTATCAGTTATTTCAAGCTCTCGTATTTTATGCAAACAATGCACCTATTCCCCACCATTAAACATTCTTCAGAACTATCAGTAGCTTACTGACAATACTAATTTTTAAAACTCATTTATGTCTGTTAGTATATTCATTTTGTTTTCTTTTTAATCTTCACTAGTAACTATTTGTGGGAAATAAGTCTTACAAGAAACTAAATAAAATAATATAAATAATATTTTACTAATATACTAAGGCAAAAAAAAAATATTAAGTTACATGGTAGGCAGTTAACTTACATGTCATTGGTTGAAGTATGAGTTGGTGCAAACTTTCTGGAGGCAATATTTGTCTATTCTCTACCAAAATTTAAAATGATGTGTAATATATGTCTATATATGTATAATATATATTTATTACAACATTATTTATGATAGCAAAGATTCAGAACTAGCCTATAACAGTCATAAAAAGAGACTGACTAACTGAACTATGATAGAACCACACATGGTATCATTTACTATTTAGCCATTAAAAAAATTAGGTTAAGGGGCTGGCTAGTTAGCTCAACTGGTTAGAGCATGGTGATACAACACCATTGGCAAGAATTTGGTTCCCCATACTGGCCAGCTGCCAAAAAAAAATTTTTTTTAATAAAATTTTTTAAAAAGTTTGCTTGTAAGTGCTGACATAGAAAGATACTAAAGATAAAGTAGAAAGAGAGCAAGCTGAATAGTATGTATACTGCAAGTACATTTATTTTAGAAATAAAGAATGATATTTACTCATATGTATATGTGAGTGTTTGAATGTGTGTGTGTACATTTATGGAAAGACTGACAAAAATCTGTTAATGATTCCATTGATGAGTGAGAATAAAAGTGTTTTTTATTTTAAAGTACTTTGTTCTATGAGCTTTTGTCATGGATATTTGTTTTCTAATAAAACCAACGCAGCAATAAAATAGTCAATATTATGATGGTGTTTACAATAAATAGAAATAAGTTGTCCAGATTTTGGCATTTATTTATAGGGAGAGTAAAAAAAAGAAAAAAAAGAAAAAACATGAGAATAAGTAAAATTCTGTTAGTCTTTTAATTTTTCTATTAAACCTTTAGTTCACATTGTCATGTATCTTTACATATATGCTTGCAAATATAGGACATTTACACATATACTGATATATTCAGATAGCCTTAAGAGGCTTCACATTTGTAACTAGTAACTCAAACCACATAGCAGAACTATTTTATTTTACTCAGGCTTCTCTGTGCCATCCCTAGTATGGGAGCTTCATATTGATAACTTATATACAAATTCAAATCACTAATTATGAGCACTTTGAGCTTGATATACGTTCTGGTTATCTTAAATACCTTTTGATTTAAATCTATTAATTGGGCATTTTGAAAATATGTATAATAAACCCAGACTACAGAAGAACCCAAACTAAAAGACTGGGGTTACTTACCAGTAATTGGAGTTCTCTGACTGAAAATTTACTCCACAGATCCACATATTTTGGAGTTAGTCCCATGTACCACCTCAAGGAATCGGGAGCTGTTAAAATGAGAATTTCCAGAAGGTTGGCACGACCTTAAGGCATGTGCCAAGTGCTGGTTTGATTCCCTTTCTGTGCAAGCCTTAGAAGCTTAACACCTGCCTTTGTAATTCTAAACACACAGGGTAGGATGTGTTTATGAGTGTGGCTCTTGAAAGATTACCTAATCAAAGAACTCCAGTTACCAGTGGGACTCCTTATTTTCTCATTTTAATCTAACACAGATACCTACTTTTTAGAAACGGAGAGCAAAGTAAAAAACATAAGAAATACTTACTTTTAATATATTTCTTAGTATGATTATTACAATGTCAGATACATTATGTTTCTTACCTTGAGCTTGCAGTTTTCTTAGCAACTTGGCATCTGTGTTATCCAGGAATTCAGCACTGCCAACATTTGGAGGTCGACCCTTCCGACGTCTCATCCTGGATTCCTCCCTTGCTCGCTGTCTGTCTGGATTAGGTGGTCTTCCTCTACGACCTTCCATTGCCTTGATATGAGGAATGACATCCTCTTCTTTCAGAAGACACCACTGCATTCCCTTTTAATTAACATTTCACAGAAATAATATATTACAAACAAAATAAATACAAGAGATCAATATGTCAAAAAATTCTAAGTAAAAATAACATATTTTAAAATTCACAAAGCTGGTAAAAACTTTAGGAATTTTATTTTTTAAATTAAATTTAGATTTATGGCTTGTTCATGGCTTGTGGCATACCTTTAGTATTCTTACTTTAATGACTTAACTTTGATTAAATATTTTCATCTGTATCTATAATCATATATATAGAAGCTCTATATCTTAACCACCATTTCTGAACTATAATGACCATAAATTTGGTAGAAATTTTAAAATATTAGTTGTGTGATTACTTCCTATGGATTGTTCCTGTGAGTTATCAGTTAAACTAACACATTAGGCTATCCAAATAACAGATGAAAATTTCTCTTTATAGGAATATTATAGACAATAAGTGAAAACGGAAAGTAAGAGAATATCAGCATTTTGCCATACCTAAAGAATTGACAAATCTAAGCACAGAACTTGAATGACTGCCTATCACCAAAAAGAGAGAGAACCAGACAGATGTTAGCCTCATGATGGAGGCTCACACCATCACCTATAAAGTAGTTTTGCCTCCCCAACATTAAAACCTGAATTTCTGGGGCCGGCCCGGTGGCGCACTGGATAGTGCGCCGCTTGGGAAGTGCGGCGGCGCTCCCGCCCGAGGGTTCGGATCACACATACAGACCGGTTCCCGCTCACTGGCTGAGCGAGGCGCGGGGGCAACACCGAGGGCTGCGATCCCGTTGCCGGTCCCGGTCCGGTACGGGGGCGACACTGAGGGTTGCGATCCGTTGCCGGACACGGAAAAAGACAAAAAAAAACAAAAAACAAAAAAACCCCTGAATTTCATCACGGCTCTAGATTTAACTACCATAACGTTAAAGGAAAGACAGGGTGAGAGGTATGTGTTAAACTATACAACAAAATCCAGTCCAGATAGGAAATTCTACAAATAATCTAGTTTCTTCAACAGATAAACCGTGAGAAGTAAAAAAACTGTAGAAAGATTAAATGAGCCTTTAAAGATACACCAAACAATCCCAACTTGTGGCCCCTACTTGAATATTGATTCAAATAGACAAACTGTTAAGTTTAACATGTAAGAGACAACTGAAAATTTGAACAATGACTGATATTTGATATCAAGAAGTTATTATTTTAAAGTATGATAATGGTACTGTTCTTATGTAGAAAACATGAGTCCTCATCTTTCAGAGATACAAATAAAAATATTTACAGATGAAATAAGATATTCAAGATTTGCCTCAACAAACTGCAAAAGGGGAGTAGTAGATGGGGATTTATGTAAAGCAATATTGGCCATAATGATAATTAATAAAGCTGATAATGAGTACACGGTGTACAGTATTCTATTTACTTTTGTGTGTATTTGAGATTTGCCATTGTAAGCCTCCTGATGGAAGCACATACCAACATAACACTTGTGTATTAAAAGAATAATAGTTTAGTATATAAACATAATCTGAGTCTGGTTTTCATATATCCTGTGCATGTCAATCAAAACACATATATTATATTACCTTGCTTATAGTCCACAATAATTTATTCAGATATAGGAGAGGCACCCTTTAAAAATAACTGTCTCATATTTCTTGCTTTTTAAAAAAATTAATTCCATTAATGTGAAGGTTAAGGAAATTTTCTAAATGTGCTTTTCTCATAAAAGAAACTTGAAGTAGGAATTTTGCTTGAACCACTGGAAGAAATTCTGCAACTAAAAACAATCAAAAGTTCTTGAGTTATATTTTATACCATGATTCCTAACCTGGGGCAAAGGTCCATAAGTATCTCAGTCAATGGGTACTAAAAATGCAAATACTACCCCTACTGCCATAGTGGATAATAGCTATATCCCACATTCCAAGTACTGTGCTTTGTTCCAGGCACTTTGAATACATTTTATAGTTTAATCTTTGCAACATTTCTATCTCATATGGTGGGTCTCATTGTACCTGTATAATAATTAAGGTAATGCAGGCCCAGTGAGGTTAAATAATTTGCCTCACGTAGAGACAGCAAGGAACAGAACTGTGATTCAAACCCAGGACTGACTCATCCTAAAACCTGTGCTCTTGACCACTACATGCACTTAGTTAATGTTACAAAGACGTTCTTATACTTAAAAGACTGATCACAACATTCAGCTGTGAGAGCACAGCCACGATTATGTCAAGGAAGAACTGTGTCAGAAAGTTAGTGCATGTAGTCTATATCTATATGCTAAAAATAATATTTAACTCCTTTCCATAGTTCTCATGTTAAAAATAATTATAAAAATGAATTATGAGGAAAATAAAAAATGTTTGCTGTGATTTCAAACGAATAGGAATAGTGGCAGCAAGTCTGTTTTTATTCCATAAACCACTAAGAATGAAGCCGTCAGAATAGCTTTATGTTAGGGTATGTTCACCAGCATGGGAAGCTTTAGATTAAGTTTTCGTCTTTCTATCATGCTCTTAGTCTCCAAGGCAGCATGAATCACATAAATTTAAAAATATAAAAATGACATTTGTGACATTTGGAGTAGAAGAAACAGACTAATAAAAGAGTCTGTAAACAAATCAGCATTCAATTTTTAAGGTATCTTATTAATAATAAAATCAAATTTTGGCCAAGATTTAGAGGGTTTTATCAACTTATCGTTTCTCATCCAGATACAATTTGTACATACTTATGTTTTTATTCAGCTAGAGAAATATAACTTTGTTAAAAAAGTAACAGAATGTGTTGGTGCAGCCCCAAATTTACTAGACAAGTACAGTGACATAATTTACATTTTTGCCCTTGGCATTTAGAAGGTAAATACTTTCTAAGGGGATTGCATATATTGGGTTACATACAATGTCTTCTGACTCCTGAATTTTAGAAAATGCAAAAAAGATGGTTAGGAAAATCTGAAGTTTATATTACAGGTTTAATTCATTAAACAGTCAAAATAACTGTGGCTAAGGACAAATAGCATTTTTGTCAATAAACTTTTCCTTTGGAAAAGCAAATATAATTTATATCACTTGACTCACATGCTATTAGCTTTTTTGTCAATCAATAATTATAAATCAAAATAGTTAATTATTTTTCTTAATTTCTAAGACTTAAGATAGTAAATGTTTCCTGAAAATAATCCTTCTTGATTATAATTTAAAAGATATGAATAGGGGAGTAGGGTAAGGGAGGAATTGGTAAAGGGCCACAAAAATCGAATACATTATATAATGTTGAATATACTAATTATCCTGATTTGAGCATCACATATTGCACACAGGTACTGATATTCAATATTGTATCCCACAGATATGTACAATCATTTATGTTTCAATTTTAAAAAGATATGAATAAAAGAAACAGATGATCAACACAATTGAGATGGTGAAAGATTAAGGTTATTATATTATTATAATTTCGCTTTCAAGAGTTGCTAATTTATATCCTCAACAAATAACATATTCACGTCTGTAAATACTACAAAGAGAAAGAAAAAAGAAGGGAAAAAAATGTTTTATTTTAGAAGACTGAGCAAAATAATCAAGGTAAATAAGTAAATGAGATAAGTGAAAGTACACTGGGAGACTGCAATGAATTATTAAAATAGAGTGTCCACTACTTAAATTTTTGTTGAGACATTTAATCTGAAGAAGTCATAACATTATCTAATGGCCAGCTAGAGACAGTCCTTTCCCCTAAAGGAACAGCATCTTTAACAAGGACCTCGGGCTCGGGGTATTCTAATGCAAGGGGATCCAAGGACAACACCCTACGTAGCAATGAATTGGAAGAAGAATTTAGAGGTTGGGACAGGAAGTTGTCTCAATTGTCCATAAACAACTATGAGAGTCTGCATTAGGGCATAAAAATTAGAACGAGAAAGGAAGGTAAATTGGTCTTTCTGGAGAGAGAACTGACTGGAATGGAAGACTGTCCAGACATGAAGGGGGAAAGCCTGAATGTAGACCAGAAAGGTGATTAAGGTTTGAAATAGTCTCTAAGCAACACGGAAAAGGGAAATAGCAGTGAGGTTTTCTTCCTTAACAAAGTTAAGTTACAGGATAGAGAAATACTTGAGAAAACTGGCAAATAAATTTATTCCCTCAAATTTTTTATGACTTAAAAAGTACACAGAGCTTTAAAAAACACATTTATTTCAAATGAATTAATTTTTAAATGTCTTCTGTATTCAGAAATTCAAGAGAAATTATGAAATTTAATTTCAATATGATCTTCCTATTTCAACATTTCTATTGTTCTTCATAAATTACACTATAAAGTATACTTGAACATTTCATGAGCAACTGTTCTGTTTTCACCTTATCTTATGGGCACTGAGTTGCCTAATTAACTGGGTTTCCCACATTTCACTGACAGCTAGAGTCAATTTATGAATTATCAGCAACATGTTTAGGTCCTAATGGGATGTGTTCTCAAGTCAAATTCCTGCTTCAATTTTATATCCTACCTTGTTTTTATTTTTCTTTTGCTGTTTCTGTTTTGTTTGATTTTATATACTTATAAGCTGACTTATTTTGGGAGGAAAGCAGTATATAAGTAAATGCAGTAAACCAGTCCACTAAAAGCCAATTCACTGAATATCTATTTGCCAAGTTACTGAAGACTTATTTTTTTAAGTTGTAATATATGACCAAGACTTTATGCAGCAATTTCAGCATGGATTTGCAGTCATGCGTCACTAAATGTCAATTTCCAAGTTAACATTTGAGATGCCTGGTACTTCGTGAATGCTAAATATTATATTAATGAATAGATGAACTTTCCCCTACTACTCATATTTTTCTGGATTGGGACCTGTAGGTACCTCAGTCCTTGCCTCTGGTAGGAAAATATGAGATGTGGTGCATGTTTTAAATATGATTTATGGTATTTGTTCTGACAATTTAAGGTCTGTTAGTCATTCAGTAAATTGATCATTTACCAAACTGATTTTTGGCTAAATA